AGGGGGCAGGGCAGATGAGGGGGAAGCACTGATCCAGGGTGCAGGGCAGATGAGGGGGCAGCACTGATCGAGGGGCTGAAGGGGCAGGGTGGATGTGGGGAGCAGGATAGATTTGGGGGCAGGGCAAATGTTGGGGGCGAGGGAGCTGCACTGATCTCGGGGCAGAACTGATGGGGGGCTGGGAGGAGCGGGTTGATTTGTAGGTTGGTGGGTAGGATTAATTGCTGGGCAGGGGCTGGGCGGATGTGAGCTGAGAGCGCCACGTGGCGAAGGGTTACATAGAAACAAAGCAGGAATCTGAAATTAGAATCAAAGGAGCCTGGATTTTTTAGACGGGGCTTTTCTGTTGAAAGGAGCGAGGGCAGCACGCGGGGTTTATGATGTCAGTTGTTAGAGATCGGCACATGCGTTCCCCTTTCCTCCCCCAGACTAGTCACTACCGCGTGAATGGGTCCGAGTGACAAGGAAACCACACGAGCCGCCCACACCGCCTGAGGGAGACAATTGTTCTCTTATTCCCAACCCACCTCAGAGCTGGGTCACATGATTTGCCACCACATGTGTAACGGGACTTACTGCCAAGAACCCTCCTAGGCACGGCCCGAACCCAGAACAAAACCACAGTCCCGCCCCCAGGGCTTTCCGATCAGTGGCCGTGAGACTCGGGTCTGCCCTGGGGCATCGTCCCCCCGCGCCCCGCCTCGCCCCGTGTGAACGCGTTTCCCCAGCCGAGGGGCGCACACGGGGCTCTGACAGCCCGATCGCTGCAGCGGGAGCATCGCTTAGAAGCGCGGGGTCGCGAGCCGCGGTGCGGGCGTCTGTGTCCGGCCCCGCAAGTGCCGGGCCCCGGGTCTCTGGGAGCGGAGCGGGGCGGGGCGGGAACGGGACAGCGGCATTGGAGAAGCGCAGGGGGGTGACCGGGCGCGCCCAGGAGTGAACTGGGGCCTGGCAGAGCTACAGGCAGGAGCGGCTGCGGCTGGAGCGACAGTTCCGGGGGATTTTAGCAAAACGCCCCCGCGGCCGCCCGGCACCGCGCCCGTATCCCGGGGGTTCACCCGCTTCGGGGAGCTGAGCAGAGAGAATTCGTGTTTCCCCGCCCCCCGCACTCCGACGCTGATTGGAGGAGAGCTCGCTCCGCCCCCCCCCCCCCCCGGCTTTCCCTGCCGCTGAGAGCGGGTCCCCGGTCACGCGGCACCGGAGCGTCTCTTCTCCCGGCCA